CAGGTGACCCTGTAGGCTGTGGAGGTGTGGGAGTACACAGGTGACCCTGCATGCTGTGGCGGTGTGGGCATACACAGGTGACCCTGCAGGCTGTGGAGGTGTGGGAGTACACAGGTGACGCTGCAGGCTCTGGAGGTGTGGAGTCACCCAGGTGTCCCTGTAGGCTGTGGAGATGTGGGAGTACACAGGTGCCCCTATAGGCTCTGGAGGTGTGGAGTCACCCAGGTGCCCCTGTAGGCTGTGGATATGTGGGAGTACACAGGTGTCCCTGTAGGCTGTGGAGGTGTGGGAGTACACAGGTGACCCTGCAGGCTGTGGAGGTGTGGAGTCACCCAGGTGACCCTGCAGGCTGTGGAGGTGTGGAGTCACCCAGGTGACCCTGCAGGCTGTGGAGGTGTGGAGTCACCCAGGTGACCCTGCAGGCTGTGGAGGTGTGGAGTCACCCAGGTGACCCTGCAGGCTGTGGAGGTGTGGAGTCACCCAGGTGACCCTGCAGGCTGTGGAGGTGTGGAGTCACCCAGGTGACCCTGCAGGCTGTGGAGGTGTGGAGTCACCCAGGTGACCCTGCAGGCTGTGGAGGTGTGGAGTCACCCAGGTGACCCTGCAGGCTGTGGAGGTGTGGAGTCACCCAGGTGACCCTGCAGGCTGTGGAGGTGTGGAGTCACCCAGGTGACCCTGCAGGCTGTGGAGGTGTGGAGTCACCCAGGTGACCCTGCAGGCTGTGGAGGTGTGGAGTCACCCAGGTGACCCTGCAGGCTGTGGAGGTGTGGAGTCACCCAGGTGACCCTGCAGGCTGTGGAGGTGTGGAGTCACCCAGGTGACCCTGCAGGCTGTGGAGGTGTGGAGTCACCCAGGTGACCCTGCAGGCTGTGGAGGTGTGGAGTCACCCAGGTGACCCTGCAGGCTGTGGAGGTGTGGAGTCACCCAGGTGACCCTGCAGGCTGTGGAGGTGTGGAGTCACCCAGGTGACCCTGCAGGCTGTGGAGGTGTGGAGTCACCCAGGTGACCCTGCAGGCTGTGGAGGTGTGGAGTCACCCAGGTGACCCTGCAGGCTGTGGAGGTGTGGAGTCACCCAGGTGACCCTGCAGGCTGTGGAGGTGTGGAGTCACCCAGGTGACCCTGCAGGCTGTGGAGGTGTGGAGTCACCCAGGTGACCCTGCAGGCTGTGGAGGTGTGGAGTCACCCAGGTGACCCTGCAGGCTGTGGAGGTGTGGAGTCACCCAGGTGACCCTGCAGGCTGTGGAGGTGTGGAGTCACCCAGGTGACCCTGCAGGCTGTGGAGGTGTGGAGTCACCCAGGTGACCCTGCAGGCTGTGGAGGTGTGGAGTCACCCAGGTGACCCTGCAGGCTGTGGAGGTGTGGGAGTACACATGTGAACTTCGTAGACTTGGTCAGGGCAGGTGTTGTTATCTCTTCAGCTCTGTCTCCAGGCTCACCCACTACTTCTGTTTTCTGTTTGTTTGTTTTTCTCAAAAAGAACTAAGTAACTCCTATGGGAAAAATAAATATAAAACTATGGTGAAGACTTCCCAGGACAATGAACACCAGGATGTGGATTCGGTGAGCTTGGAGTCATCTGTCTGAACTGGGGATGGAGCTGTAGTCTGGCTCCCGGGAACCCAGGGCTCAGGGGAAGTTTCTCCAGAGAGATGAGGGAACAACAGGCCCCCTCTCTGTGCCCAGGGAGGCCACCGTGGAAACCGTGGAGTTCAATAATAACTCGGGAGAGAAGCCAGGCCACTGAACACACACCAGGCATCTGTGTGCAAGACCCACTGCCCAGCGACTGGCCGTGCAGAGGCAGTAGCGCTTAGTGGCAGTGGCACCAAGTCAGGAGGGCAGGGCAGCCACAGCTCAGGAACGTGGACCAGAGTAGTGGGAGCAGGGGGCCTGTACGGAGGCAGCCACAGCTTGGAGGGATCTCAGTCGGTGGGGCTGGGGGCCTGTAGGGGTGTGGGACTTTGAATCGGGAGAATGTAACGTGTGGTTGATAATGCATAAATCCTGACAGCAGCGCTGGGTTTGGTGATGCGAGTTGTTGGGGATCATCCTGAGAGGCAGGCTTGGGTGAGAGGGGGAAAGGCCAAGGATTGGAATAGATTTGAATTCTTTAGTACTGGGCTGTCCAGTTCCCCACAGAGGCAGCGTGAGGACCCATGCGCACACCTTCTTAAGTGGACGTGTTTTCTGATGACGTCCACATGGGCTCTGATTTATGAACCAACAGTGACATCTACCCTTGTTCTAGCTCGGCGAAGCAAGTGTTCTTCCAGGGGCGTCCCCCGCCTCGTTCCTGCCCACAGCGCAGGTGGCTTCCAGTCCTGTCCTCACCACTGACCACTGCATACCTGTCTGCACCACGCAGCGCCCGGCCACTAGGAGGGACGCCCTAATGGCCCCTGTGAACATACCGTCGCATCCTCCTGTCTTTACAGTGTGGGTCACGCCCAGACGTGTTGTCCTTGTAGGAATATTTTAATTCACAAAACAGCACATGTAAATACCGCCCATAAATTAATCAGCAGGACAGATATCTTCTGCAAACTGGAGGGCCCGTGGGCCACATGCAAGGGGACTAGGATGTGTTACTTGCCTTGGGATGGGGAGGGCGTGCTATCAGACATAAAAAAATCAGGACTTCTTAGGCATGTGCCTGTGGTTAGGTCACACAGAGGGAAGATGCTGGTTGGGACAGAAATTACTCGTGGTTGAAGGTGAAAAAGTAGTGTTGTCATTAGATCTACAGTGAATGTTTCGGAAGGAGGTCCGTGTCTAATGGAGGAAAGGGAATGTTGGCAGGACCTCTGCCCTGGGCTGAGAGAAGGCAAAGGAGAAAGGAGCAGCCGGGGCACCAGGAAGTGGAGGCGGATCTGAGTGGGGATGGGCCTGCCCTCTGCTACAGGGAGTGGAACTAACCGGGAGATTATAACACATTAAACCAGGGACCACGTGATTTTCTGGAGACAAGACAACATATAATCTAAGAAACCCGTCGCCCGGTTTACCAGAGAACCCTGGAGCAGTCGTGCGAGGTTTGAGGCTGATTCTCAGCTTGAACCCTGAAGTTCTCAAGCTTCTCGGGTCACACGAGGCAGACGCTCCCTGCGTTCTTCCCGCGGAGTCTGAGGAGCTTCCGGGGGGCCCTGCGGGTCTGCTTCCGTTTTTAAAAGACAGGCCACAGTGTGTCTTTGTAAAGTATTTGTGTATCTCTAAAGGACAGTGTCTCCGTTTAATAACTGACATATTTTTGCATTATTTTACTAGTTATCAAGTACTTTTGTACATTTATTATATTTTGTTAAAACCTTATATGATAGTAATAAAAATTGTATCTTTTTTTTAAAGAAAGTAGAAGGGAGGGGGGAGGGAGGGAGAGAGAGTGAGAGAAAGAGAGAAACATCCATGAGAGAGAGACACATTGATTAGTGGCCTCCCACCAGGTGCCTCAATCAGGCTCAGGGATTGAACCTGCAACCCAGCTACGTGCCCGTGACTGGGAATCAAACCCACGACCCTTCGGTGCACTGGCAGATGCTCTAACCACTGAGCGCACTGGCAGGTCTACAATAAACATTTGTATCTTAAATCAAAGGACCAAAGGGTCCAATTACTCGACCAAGAAGCCACACCCAGGACCGCCCAGCTGACCTGGGGGCTGGGTCCTCAGGGTCCGGGTCCCACGTGCTTGGAGGGACCCCGCAGCTTCCAGTGGCTGTGAGGCGCCTGGACGTCTCAGAGGAGGGAGGCTCTCGGAGGGAGCACTGCCCGCGGTGCTGGCGGGGCCTCTGCCCAAGGCGCTGCCTCAGGTTTGCCTGGGAGTCTGGCTCCCGCTGGCTGCAGCGATGAAGCTCTCATTACGGAATGGGCATGGGCTCCGGAATGGGGTTGAAACTGAAATTTTTATTTTTCCTGCGGCTCTTAAATTCTCAGATAACTTTCTCCCACACTTACTTTCTGGTTGCAATAGAAACAGCGCCAAGAAAAGCTGACTGTGGAATTCCAGGCCTTCAGAACAGGAGAGGGTTTGAATGTCGCAAGAAATACTGGTTTCCTCGTGCTTTCAGACATTTTTCTAACCACATAAATAGCTCGGGGTGAAGAAAGAACAGGCGAGTGATGGGAACGGTTGACGTGAAAAGGCTGTATTTTCAAGAGAAGTAGCGGCACGGCTGGGCTTTGCCTCGTCGCAGCGGCAGCGGATGGGCTCAGGCCTGGAGGAGGCCGTGTCCCGGTCTTGCTGCTGCCCCTGAGGGTGATGGTGGACAAGTTATTTAATCAACTTCTGGCTGTAAAGTTAGAGTCTTTAAAATTAGAGATGCATTAGGAGATCTCTAAGACACTCTGGCTCTCAAGTTTGGTTAGTTCCCCAAATACCACCCCTGAGCTGCCGACGCCCTGGCCGATATCCCTGCCCTCAGGGCCGATATCCCTGCCCTGCTCACTGTCAGGTGAACGAGGAAAGACCTCAGGAGCCCCTTTGAGGCCGTGAGATGTCCCAGGAGGTGCCAGCTGCCTCCTCCAGGCGGAAGGCTCGTCTATGAAGAGGGGGGACCGAGGACACAGGGCTGCACACAGCTTGCAGGCCGGAGCTCACCTGTCAGCCTCACACTCTGGTGGCCTTCAGTACCAGGCTCGCCAGGTCGTTTACATAAGAACCTCGCATTCACCCCCGTGAGGAATTCCAAAGAAGACATAAGACAGCGCAGGGGCGACTGAGGCTCCGAGACAGTCAGCCGGTGCGATTGGGAAGCGGGGGTCCGAGAACTTGGGGCCCACATTAAGCACCTTAATGGCTGGGAATCTGCCATGAGTGAAACATTCCCCTGAGCTGGCTGGGTAGAAACGCCTCACTGAGTTCATGCTGTTATCGAGTAGCTCGTTGTTGATGCAACACAACGGATTTTAATAACATTCCAGTGTTTGCGTCTGACAGAAAGTGCCTAGCGTCACCCGCTGTCTGCCGGGCCCCGGCTTCTGGAAGGAAGGGTGGGCGGCCACCTCTTCCCGAGGGCTCTCAGGCAAACACCCAAGGTGATTCTCCTGCTGAAATAGCTGAAATCCCACCTTTCCACCTTAGGGGTGGTTAGCGCCGCACGGAGGTCTAAGGGACCCTGGGATGAGTGGTCATGTCCAGAGCCGTTAGGGAGGAGTTCACGCCGCCCTCAGCAGCGGGCCGTGGCCTGGGTGCGCTGTGATGGGACCGGTCTGCGTCCCCACGCTTCTGCCGGGACACCTCTCTCGTGACCTCCTCTGGTGGTCAGAGGGACATCAGCCAGGATTAGAACTGTCCTCGTAGTTGGGACAGAAGAGCCGCGGCTCCCGTGGGCTCAGCACCTCCAGCCACAGGCACTGCCTCGGCCTGGGCGGACGCGGTGTGGCCACGGGAATGGGGAATCTCAGCTCGGATTCAAACCGAAGTCCCTTCTACAAATGGGCACTTGTTTTAATTTGCTAGAATGTTCTGGAATCATCGCCCTGTGATGAGCCAGCCTGGGCCAGCCTAGAACCCTGAGCAAATGGCATTGACGGTCATGTAGCCCTGCCTTGCCCGGGGGGCCCGTGGCTGTCCCAACAGCGCTGGACGACTCCTTCCCACGGTCTGACCCGGCGTGTGTGGCCAGGGGCGGTCTCCTCACAGCTGCGTCCAGGGCTCACCTGCAGAGCCGCACGTGGGTCCAAGCCCAGCGTCCAGAACGGACTTTCTCTGAGACACGGACACCTGGTCTCATCTGTTCTTGCAGCGCTTGGCGCTGTACAGTCTCCTCCCCCGTTTTCCATGCAGCGACTCCACCCTTTGGGACAGGAAGCAGCTGCCCCTCCCCACCCCCCCATTCACAGAAACAGAGATGTTGGGGTTGGAGCCGTGGTGAAGTTGGGGCCCCAGGCCAGGCTTCCTGACCCTCAGCCTGGACTCTGCCCTGTGGCTGCATTGCACCCGCGCTGCTGGGCGGACCCTCGGGCGAGGATCCATGTTCCCACGACCAGAGGCCCAGAGGCTCTGTCGTCAGCAGATGGACGCCAGGAGCTCTCTCTCTCCCCCGAATCCTGGGGGAGCCATTCAGGCTCTGGAGCCTCCATCTATAAGAGAGGAGCAGGCCAGGACTTGGGGAGACTGATGTCTGACCCTCTCCCTCCCCAAAGGGGTCTGTGACCATGTGCGCACGTGAGATGCTAATAACGGGTAGGCAACCGGGGCTCCGACAACAGAAAAGACGCCCTATGAATGGAAGGCATCGTCATTGTTGTTGCTTGGATTAATTGGACTTAAAACAATATACCAATAAAGACATTACCTAGGTCTAACTTAATGATCTGCTTTGAGGTAAAAACAAGCCAGGAGTGCAAACCTGATTGGATGCCAGGGGGGTGCCCGTGGAGTAACACTTTACACTAACACTTGACCTGCCTGACGTTTGTCTAGTACTCTTAAATTTCTGTTTTTGTTTCAGCTCCCATCTAATCTAATAAAAGAGAAACATGCAAATTGACCATACCTTTGCTACGCCCCAAGCCATGCCCACCAGCCAATCAGAGCAACTGTATGCAAATTAACCCAACCAAGATGGCAGCTGGCAGCCAGGAGCTGGAGCAAGCAGGAGGCTTGGTTGCCCTGGCAATGGAGGAAGCCAAGCTTCCCACCTGCCCTGGCCGGCTCAAGCCTCCGCTCAAGGCAACAAAGTTTCAATTACAGAAGCTAAATAAATCCCAGATACCTGCTTCCAGGCAGCCTCCACTGGGAGCTTGGGTGGCTGGGGGCCGTGGCAAGCATGCAAACAGCCATCAGCCCCTCACCCAGGCTGGCCAGGCACCCCAGGGGGGACCCCTAACCTGAAAGGGCTGTGGCCAGCCTGCAAACAGCCCTCAGCCCCTCACCCAGGCTGGCCAGGCACCCAGGGGGGACCCCTAACCTGAAGGGATGTGGCCAGCCTGCAAACAGCCATCATCCACTCACCCAGGCTGGCCAGGCACCCCAACAGGACCCCGCTCCCTGAAGGGGGTGTGGCCAGCCTGAAAACGGCCCTCAGCCCCTCACCCAGGCTGGACAGGCATCCCAGCGGGACTCCCATCCTGATCCGGGACACCCTTCAGGGCAAACCAGCCGGCCCCCACCCATGCACCAGGCCTCTATCCTATATAATAAAAGGGTAAAAGGCAACTTGACCCTAACAGCAGAACAACTGGGAATGACTGGTCACTAGGACACACACTGACCACCAGGGGGCAGACGCTCAATGCAGGAGCTGCCCCCGGTGGTCAGTGCGCTCCCACAGGGGGAGCTGTGCTCGGCCATAAGCCAGGCTGATGGCTGCCAGTACAGCAGTGGTGGTGGGAGCCTCTCCCGCCTCCTCAGCAGCACTAAGGATGTCCAACTGCAGCTTAGGCCTGCTCCCCGCTGGCAAGTGGGCATCCCCCGATGGCTCCCGGGCTGCCAGAGGGATGTCTGACTGCCAGCTTAGGCCCAATCCCCCGGGGAGTGGGCCTAAGCCAGCAGGTGGTCATCCCCTGAGGGGTCCCAGACTGCGAGAGGGCACAGGCCAGGCTGAGGGACCCTCCCGAGTGCACAAATTTTTGGGCACCGGGCCTCTAGTCCTGTATGATAAAAGCCCAGCAACCATAATGACCAGAATGACTAGAGACCAGAATCACCACAGCCCCTCACCAGACTGGCCCTGCCCCCCAGCAAGCAGTTAGGGGTGATCAGATAGGCAGGCGAGCGGCTGGGGGCAATCAGGTAGGAAGGCGAGTGGATAGGGGCGATGAGGCAGGCAGAGACTGCTCGATCACCTCAAAGAGGGAGACCCAGGCCACAGCCTGTGGGAGGGATGCTGGGTGGCTGTGAAGGGAGACATTGGCGGCGGTGGACACTATAGGGCAGGGCTGGTGCCATGGCGCTCCTGAGCAGGCATGGAGCCTGCAGCCTGGCCCAGGCCCCGGGGTCGCAGCCTCTCCTGCATCTTCTGCAGGGCTGGACTGCCACTCCTCCTGCTCTGATGCCTGGGCAGATCCCAGACGCTTCCATGACTGCGGGCTCTCTGCCAGGGCTCAGGCCCCTGACCGGACTCCCCAGCTCAGCCCTGACTGCAGAGGAGCTGAAATATGCTGACATCCACAACATTGGGGCCATGATTGCCCCTTTGCACTTCCTGGGCAAGAGGCCTCAACCTGTGGAAAGTGAGCTACATGAGGAAGAGGAGCGGAGGAAAAGGCACCAGGAAAAGAACAAAGTGGAGGCAGCCCCATGCCTGAACAAGAAGAAGAAGAAGTGGAAGGAAATTCTGCAGCAGGAATCTGAGTGGCTGGAGCTCATGAATGTGGAGCTGAACACCCAGATGGAGGAGCTGAAGCAGGAGCGGCAGCAGCTCATCCTGCTGCTCAGCCGGCATCGCCCCGCCTGCATCGTCAGGACCCACAGCGTTAAGACCCCCGACTCAGAAGGCAACCACTGCTGGGGCAGCTGGAGGAAAAGTGACCATGGCTGGGAGGAGGAGATGAGGAGAGGGAGGAGGAGGAGGGTCCCAGAGGGCTCTTCTTTGCTGCATGCAAAACTCTTCAGTGAGGCTCAGCACAGCCAGCATCGGCTGGGCTTTTCTGTGAAACTCAGATCAGCCACCCCAGGGGAAGAAACCCAGGCTGATGAGACCCGGGACCAAGCACTGAGACCACAGTAGTCCTAAGGGGGGCTGTTCTGCCTGGGGCCAGGTTTGCAGGAGACATGACAGAGGCTCTGGGCCAGAGAGACGCCCAACCAGGCAGCTGTGGGCACTTCTCCGGCCTCTCCGCCAGGGCACCCACCCACAGGACCTCCAGGCAGCCAGGAAAAGCCACGAGTTGCAACCAAAATTAGGTTGAGGATAGACTCAGAGTGAAACTGCAATCTGCCTGCCCCCAGCCCTGCCCCTGATCCTGGAGAAGGCTGGAGAAGGGCACAGTGCCAGGCCCTGCTGTACCCACCCACCATGGTCCACTCAGTCCTGCCCGAAGTGGCAGCCAGGGCGCAACCTCGCCGGCCCTGCTGGAGCTGCTGTGGGCACGAGGCGCAGGCGCCCTTCCAAAGCACATGCTCACTGGGTGCTTACAGACGGGCTGTCCTGGCAGGGCTTTCCACTGCACGTGTTTTTTTAAAAAAATATTTGTTACAAAAAAAAAGATTTTATACAAGCAATATATACAGTGGGGCCTTGACTTATGAGTGTCCCGACTAACGAGTTTTTCGAGATACGAGCTGTCTCTCGGCCGATTTTTTGCTTTGAGTTGCGAGATAAAATTTGGGTTACGAGCCAGCTTCAGATACCCCACCGCTAGTTGGCGCAGCAAACGTCACAGTGAATGCCACAACATCAGCCCAGCATCACGTGTCTCACTCGTTCACTTTAATGATTTGATATACGAGTAATTTGAGTTACGAGCTCCATCACGGAACGAATTAAACTCGTAAGTCAAGGCCCCACTGTAAATGGATTTCTATGATCACTCGATGTGATACAGTATAAATGTGCTATGGTTTGTTTGTTATGAACAGATATTCAGCAGTTATGGCTGTTGCATGTATCTTCTAAGTACTGTAGTCTCTGGGTGTTGGGGTGGCAGGGGCGGGGTGCGGTGCATTTCCATCCTGGTAAACCCTTCATAGTAGTCACTTCTGTATCACTCAGTAAACATGACTCTTACTTAAAAAGAGAGAGAGAGAGAGAGAGAGAGAGAGAGAGGCCCAGGCCACCGGTCGGCAATGCTGTGCCGATCGCCCTGCAGAGGGAGGTCCAGGCCAGCCAAGTCATCGCACCCCATGCCTGTAGCCTGCAGAGGGAGGCGACCGGTGGCAGGGGAGGGGTGTGACAGTGCTGCACAGATGGCAAGCAGTGGCAGTGGGGGCAGGGCCAGCTGCCTGCAGCCAGGGAAAGGAAAGCCCCAATAGGCCCTGATCTCAGGCTGGGCTGAGGGATCCTACCCGAGGGGTCCCGGATTGTGAGAGGGTCCAGGACAAGCTGAGGGACCCCCCTGAGTGCACGGATTTTCGTGGACGGGCCTCTAGTAGGTAATATAAGCTTATTGGGCATCTTGGCTGACTGTCTGGGAGCCTCAGTAGACCCATGCCCTGTCTTATGCCTTCTTTTGAATTCCTCATGGAGGTGAATGCGAGGTTCTTACATAAATGACCTGGTGACGGGATATTGCAACTTAAAAAAAACCCTCTCTGTTAGAATTCACTATTTCATTGTGGGAGTCTGCCTGGTTAGGTCTCCTGAGGGTGGGGCCAAGGAGCCGGCAGGCCTGGCTCCTGCCTCGGTGAGCAGAGGGGAGGGAGAGGGGGCAGGTCCCGTCCCAGCCCCCTGCTCCTGCTGTGTGCAGGTGGCCACACTCCTGGTTTGCCAGACCGCCCTGCTTCTGTTTGTTGATCAGAGCCTGCTCCCCACCTTCGAGGTGGCACCAGAGGCAAGTCACAGCCTCTTTCATCCTTAACTTTTCATCTGAAAAGCTTCTGGGAAACTCCTAGCACAGCGGTTCTCAACCTGTGGGTCGCGACCCCTTTGGGGGTCGAACGACCCTTTCACAGGGGTCGCCTAAGACCATCGGAAAACACATATATAATTACATATTGCTTTTGTGATTAATCACTATGCTTTAATTATGTTCAATTTGTAACAATGAAAATACATCCTGCATATCAGATATTTACATGACGATTCATAACAGTAGCAAGATTACAGTTATGAAGTAGCAACGAAAATAATTTTATGGTTGGGGGTCACCACAACAGGAGGAACTGTATTAAAGGGTCGCGGCATTAGGAAGGTTGAGAGCCACTGTCCTAGCACGTAGCAAGTGTTCAAGAGACGCTCGCCATTGTCTCCCGCAGTCACTTCGTGGGACCTGGGAGGGTGACGTGTTCCGTGGCTCCTGGAGCAGTTGCCTGCCGCCCATCCTCTCTAACACGCGGCTGAGCACTGGCCCTCTGGTCAGGTCGGCAGGACACCTGGCCGCTCCCACCTGCTCTCCGCACTCCGGGGAAAGCCTTTCCCCACCGCAGGGCCCCTCAGCGATGCAGTGCCTCTGCGGTGGCCCGGCCGGGACCAGCCCCTTGCGGACGCTGTGGTCGTGGGTGCGGCAGAAGGACGATGGGTTGGTGAAGGTGTGCTGTGATGGGCAAGGGGCGTCCTTTGGGCTGTTCCCATCATCCGTGTGCAGTTTCCTCTATTTCAGTAACCTGGTCAGTGACAAGAATCGGCAAATCTCACCTGACACTCATCCCAGCTTTCGCTTCTGCCCCTTTGCCCCTCATGTCGGCCTCAGGCAGGTTTGGGAGTGATGGACACGCAGCTGTGGGGACTCCCTGTTCCTCGGGAGGGAGACGGGAGAGGCAAGGCCCTCCTCTTGGCAAGGTGTCTGAGGGGTCTCCTGCGTACTCGGCCTGCTTGGCCTGCATTGCTCCCCCAGGGGCGTAGGCAGCAGCCGGGCAGGCCCCGCCCTCCCTCACGCTCACTCCCATCAGGTCCCCCCCGCCCCCTGGGGTGGAGTCGGTCTGAGCACCGCTGATGCCTGGAGCTCCAGAGCGACTTATCTCCGGCCCCCACCCCCCAGGGGAGCGAGAGGGCCTAGTGATACTGGACTTCAGGACGGAGTGGCCAGGGTCCCACTTGACCCCTAACCCTCTAGAAAACATAATGACTTTCTCCCAGACGCTACCTCAACGACAGTGTTTTCCACAGCACAAGGGCTCCTTTTCCTCCAGCGCAGCAGTGACGGCCACTTTACCGTCCTTTTGCATAATGAACAGGGCCATTCCTGCCTGAGGTGGAGCGGCCAGGTTCCTTTAGAGGCGACCGCCTGCCCAGAGGGGACCCGCCTGCCCAGAGGGGACCCGCCTGCCCAGACCCAGAGGGGACCCGCCTGCCCAGAGGGGACCCGCCTACCCAGAGGGGACCCGCCTACCCAGACCCAGAGGGGACCCACCTGCCCAGAGGGGACCTGCCTTGCCAGGCAGCCTTGAGCAGCATTTCTCTGACTGTGGCTCCTCTTCTCCTGGTCCCTGGTTACATTGTTTATTATTCAACTAAAATGCAAGCCAGTTGGTCAGATTTCTCATTTAATGATACACTTAAAAATTAATTGATGTTTAGAGAGAGAGGAAGGGAAAGGAGAGAGAGAAAAGTGACCTGAGAGCAACACATAGATCAGTTGCCTCCTGCACGCCCCCTACCTGGCAGGGACCGAGCCTGCACCAGGTAAGTGCCCTGCAGGGAATTGACCCAGCAGCCCCTTGGTGCACGGGATGATGCCCAGGGCTTTCGTGGCCCTGAAAGGGGGCCCCGGGGGCAGCCAGGGACAGCCGGGCTCCCACATGACTGGGCAGTGCTTTGAGATGGTCAGTTTGATGGGATCCCAGAAGTTCAAACAACTGTTTCTTCCCATTTTAAAGAATGCCTCCACATTCCACGTTTGTGTGTGTGTGTGTGTGTGTGTGTGTGTTAATCTTCACCCAAGAATATTTTTTCATTGATTTTAGGGAGTAGAAGGAAGGGGGAGAGAAACATTGATGTGAGACACATCGATTGGTTGCCTCCCACACATGGCCTGACCTGAGTGAAGAACCTGCAACCCAGGTACGTGCCCTTAACCAGGAATCGAACCCGTGACCCTTCAATACTTGGACCAATGCGCTAACCACTGAGCACCAGCCAGGGCCACTTATTTGTATTTCATCCGCATGGTGAAGAGCAGTGCGTCCCTGGCTTGTAAATCT